AAACGAAATCGTATACACATCTAGATGTGTATAAGAGACAGCCCTTACCCCCTTACCCTTTTACCCCCTTACCGCCTTACCCCCTTACCCCCCCTAACATACTTAATAAAATACATACAAATTTGCTTGAAAAAAGGACTTTCAATTTCGCGCAAAAAAAAAAAAATATGAACATTTTAACGAAATCGTTGTTATTGGCCCCACACCCTCCCCCTGCACCCACTTGGTAATTGCCACGCAGCAAAAGCATGCCTCTGAAGCGAAATGAGGGGCATTGGATCCTGGACCTATGTGATACTGGGGCCCTACTAACGATGGCGCCAAAACATGGAAGGTTTGAGCTGTGCTCTGTTGTTGACATGGATAATACTGGAGGGGATCGATCCACTCACCTGAGTCGGGGGAATGATTTGTGTCCATTTTGTATGGTACGGATGCATGTAATATGAACGGGCCCCGGGTAGTTTGATTCTATGGGATACGCTATTTCAGCACCAGCGCCGTACCGGAGTACCCACAGGAGAAGTGGTCTTGGCGCTCGGCACAAACCAGGATGGCCCTGGACTTGATATCCCAGCATGAAACAGTCCTGGGGTCTGACGAATCTTAGGGAGCCCTCGAAATGAGGCACTACCGTGCTCGATCTCGAACCCCCGCTGGTAGCTTAAGAGTGACCAGCTGATATTGTGTGAAGAATGGCCGGGGCACTTGCCGAACGACACAACCTGCACCATCCCAAATATACGTCCTGGTTACTGCAATAAACATATACATACTCGTAAGTGACCGGTAGAAACGAGGGTGTTAACACGAGAAACGTTTCCGCAGCGCCTCTGAAGTCGTGACTTCCCGCCTTCGCTCATGCAAGGAGTCCTCCATTCATCCTCCTATATCTACTTCCGCATCTCGTCATTTCTGAGCATCTCTGTTTTTGTATGCATTGTGCGATCTGGACGCTTGCGTGAACTCTAGCGTGGCTATGGCAGCGCTTGATTTGGATGGCATTCTCTACGTGGACCTCGTGAAAACCCAGAGCGACGAGGAACCGGTATTATACACTTCCTGTTACTCACCTGCCTGTCTATGTATGGTAGTTCTGGCTGTATGGAATGCGTGGTCGTGCTGTAAGTTGTGGATGCAGGCTATGTGATCCCTCTGATGAGCCAAACAATGGCATTTGGCGAAAAGCGTTTTAGGGGCTTGCCACACCCTTCCTGCTGCAACCCAGCGACCTCTCCTTGCTACTACCAAGACTGCCTGCTGGGATGTTCCCTCCAAGCCTCCTCGTACGGTGTCATGTTGTGAATTGGAGTGCTTTCATACTATATCTGCATCGATGCTGCTCTGACAAGGGATTTCGGCCAGGCCATTGCCTCTATCACGATTAGCACTATCCTGTAGAATTTGGTGATGATAGGTGTTCACCCTATGATCCATGCTGAACTATTGCACGATTGAAACAATCACACTTTCTCTGGATTTCTCTGGACTGTAGTGGACTCTCTCTGATCTGATTTCCCCTAGTCGGGATTAAGTAGTATCCAGCACTAGGTGAGTATTTTTAATGGAAAAGTTTTTTTTCGCCGATAGCGTTCAAACGGTTGATTTTTCATAGGCTTGTGTTTATCGTAGAGGGGTAATGATTAAATAACTCCTTGGGTGGTTCATTAGTATTTGTGGCTACTCGTCTTTCCTTATATGGTGTGGCGAAACATGATCTGGGAGATAGGGGTTTGTTTAAGGTTATAAATGGTTTCCTCCCCACTTCCCCCCTATGCCCCTTCCTCCTTTTCGATACAAGGATGATGGTTCGCTTGCTCTTTTCGATTCTCATAATGTCCTTTTGAATTCCCCTCCTCATCAATATCGTATGTTGTGAATCAGAATTACTGCGTGTCCCATCTATATCAATTTTGTAGCAGCAGAAGCTTTGTTCGGTCCTTTACATTTGCTTATATTAGGTAACGGGAGCTTCAAGGAAATTCTCCATCTGGTCTGTTGTGAGGCGTAGATAGATTGTGGCATTCAGTCGCTCTTCCCTTCGAACTTTTTTTCT